TGCTCGCAAGTCACCAGGTCGCACTTTATGCTGCGCATTGCGCAGAAACCTCATGCCTGACTATACGGTCAAAGCCAGGCTTGTCACACGATTGGCAGCCGGCGGCCGATCGGGTGGCACCCATGATGCCACCCGAAAGCAAAGAAGGACCTTATCCTGGCCTAGTGTCCCACCTTAACTCACCGCCTGGAAGTGGCCCGTCAACTGCACCCGTTGGGAAGTCGTTAACAGCACGAAGCTCGAACAGTCCCGTCGAAACAATGCCAGTATGCATGGACTCGCATTTCGAAGGCGAAGGCATGAGATCGAAGGCACATCGTTAGTTGGGGATTTTCGTCGAGTCCGTACAACCCCTCCTTTTTTTGTTCGGGGGTTGGTACGATCCCCCCTCCTGGTTCCCTCTCCATCGAACTGTTTAGCGGGGGTATATCAGGAGGTCAGAAGGGGAATACTATCCCCCTCATCAAAAGTCCGTGGAACAAGAAAAATACCTGGGCACTTTCAGCGAAGTCCCACCTCGGGAGACATTGGGAAGTTGGGCTGGGAAGGGAATCCGTACCAAGAGATGGAGTTTTGACCGCCGTACAGGGAGGCATTGCTTCAGTGGCGGAGTTACGAATTATTGGATTAGGTCTCCGTCCACCAGGCATCGTAAATGCGCCTCTGACGGAAACGTCAAATAATTACCAAAACGAGCTCCAAGAAAATCCAGACTCAAAAGTTTATAAGCTTCATAAGCTCTGATTCCGGGTGGGGAATATGTGAATTTTAGGACTTTCACGATCCCATTGATTGCCCTCATGTGTCGGAGGCACATAGTGGCTACTGTCTTGACTCATAGTAAAAAGTATTATTTGTTGAAGTAAAAGTATTATATACTCACGAAAAATTGAATGCGCAAGCAAAAGTCTGCGTTGTTGGCATTGCTGACGCCTGGCACGTTTGATAACTGCATCCGAACAAAGTTGCTTTGTAGTAGACCATCTGGAAAGAGCACATAATCTCTTCAATTTCCCACGTAACCCCTTGCTTTTGTTGGTAGATGGAAAATGCAGTAAATCGGAACAAGT